ATAATGGTTTACTTTTATAAATTGTAACTTGAATGGAGAGTTGTCTCATTGGCACTCATACCACATCTTCCTATATCTATTCAATATGTATCCATGAATTTAATGATATGTTCACAATACATCTGTTTTGGAATAATAAATCATGTGAACAAGACTGAACTGGTCAACTGTAACACGAGATAATGTACAGGTTATTATGTCAACAGTAACAGTGTAATAATAACCTTTAAACTTGGTGCACTCGTTTAATTATTCTGGTATAAAAGGTATTGTGAACATATTTAATTCATGGATAGAAACTGAAAAACAAGTTTAGAAAAAATAAGTACAATTCTAATTAAATCGCTGTGATCCGTCCATTCGTTTTTCAAATCAACAGAACAGCTGCATTTAACAGGTCGGGCACATTTCCTTATACGGACATGTATCATTTATCATATTTATGCCCCTGTAAATGCAATGTATGAGCGTTTGATTATAAATTTTGGCGATTGACCATTCCATTGAATGATTTGCAATACATGATGGACTACTTGTCTCTACCTGACACACTACTAATATTTTTCACTTATTGCCAGAAAAGAATTTTTCTCACTTTTTTTCTCTCGATTACTTGGTGATATCACCACTGACTGTACTCATTCTTTCAAAAGGAACTTTTTGCTGTGAGTATATAAATATATACAAAACAAATTTCGATAAACTTTCATGCCAAAAAAAAATTATTTTACGAATGGATATGAATAAAATAGTAATTATTATATCCCCATTGAGAGACATACTTAATTGCGTGAAGTCTTTGTTGTCGACAGCCAGTGACCGACACGATATCATTTAAATATCAGGTGTCCATGTCCACACTGTTATGAAATTCATTCTATATAATCTGTTTGAATGTAGTTAGATTTATTACAAAAATTGTTGCTACAATTTAGGTAGTAATTCAGCTATTACAACCGTATAACTATCGGGTAGATAAATTGTAATTTGGTGGCATATTGCTTTATTCGGTAATGGGCCACCGTCAGTCCGTTTTTGTCTACGGTAGCTTAGCATAAAGTTATGGTCACGTCAAAATGAAACTTCGTGTATGTCTTCATTATAACTTTTCATTTCAAATATATGCCAAACTAGGGTTTCGATCCAGATTTCGCGGTTCAATGTAAATGAAATTGTAAAATTTTGATCGGGTATGAGTAGGGCTTAGTGCCATAAGGACATATATTCAAGTTTATTAATCATTAAATATGTCCACCTAGATTGAATTACTGTGTGTCATTTGAAATAATGTAAACATGATTTACTAATGTGTCATTAAAATATGATTCACTGTAGAGAAAAAGAGATAATATGACTGTATAAAAGGATATTGTGATTATTATGAATTGCAGGTAAATTAAACAAGCTACTTATAAAGGCAACCGACCTTATATTTGAAAATTATATGAAAATAAGGAGATTTAATACGATTACCACTATCCAGTAAAGATTAAAGGATAGTGATGTAAGCAATTACAGGTCATTGTTCTACCTTCAACAATGAGCAAACCGCATTATGTTAGTAAGCCATAAAAGGCTCATGGGTGATACAGAGTGAATCAATTGAAAAGAGAAAACCAATGGCCTGATTTATACTTCAACAATACGTTGTAAAAGAAAACAATTACGGTAGAGATAAAACAACCATAACCTTTGTACTACAGGCTCGTGGCTTAAAAATTACATATATAGATTGTGGCATGGTTAAACATGTTTATGAGCGCTCTACTCTCCCTTTCTTAGGCAGTGGTGTGACAATATAACAAAAGATCACACTGTAGAAATCAGTTGAAAAGGGCTTGACTCGTCAAATCGGCACTAAGCACAAATAAAAAATAACATTAGGACAAAAGACACATAGTACCGATCTAAGAAAAGTCGCAGTTAGTGAACGCTAGTTCATAGCCCAGTTTCAACTGATAAATAAATCATTTCCTAAGACCAAAATATCAATCTGTACGCCTTGAACGAGTTAAGTGTAAAGACGTCATCAGCAGCTTGACAAAATCATGACATTGTGCAATGCTAAGATATACGTATCGAGAGAATGCACGACCATAATTGTTGTTATCTGGGTAGTAATACATATTTAGTTAAGTGTTAAATTATTAAAAATGAAATCAATACAAGTACCGATACAGATAATATTCAAAGATCTTACAACAACGGTAAATAGATAATCGTCCAGAATAAGTTAATGCAAATTTAATGGACCAATAAATGTACATTGATCGGGTTTTAATTTACAAGCTAAATACATAGCATATTTTACCTCTTATACATTTCTAGAAATATCATTGGTTAAAATCTACCGCGTTGATACAGTGCATATTTCATATGTGGTTAGTAGGCGGGGCTTATTCTAATACACGGTTAGTAGTGGTGTTACGTCCCTTTATAAAAACAATACGGCGTTGATGAAAAATCAAAAACGTTTCTACAAACAAAGAAATTGATGATTAACGATTGACACAAATGCAGAAAACACATTAAAAGCTCACAAGTTGTTATTGTTGGCATTTATTTTTTTATATGCCAATAGAAGTAGGCTCTTTATATTGAAGACTTGATCACTTTGATAGGCCACTAGTCTAGATGCCAAATGTTAAGATAGTCGGTAAGACAAATTCAAGCTTCGAGCTTCGCTCTCACCCCATATGGAATTTACTGCCCCCATATATATCGTATTAGGTCACTACCACACTATGTTACTAATAATATCCTAAATATTAGCATGTGAAATCCCGTTTATAATAATATACAGCCAAAATGTCAAACCGAACTGTTAAATCTATGAAAGAGTTATGTGGAATATTTAAGACATTTGTGATAACGAAATCCTTACCTAAATATATACCAGTTATACAAAGATTACGTTCATTGCTATCTGAACGTCACTTCAGACATTGGCTTAGAGAACGAGTTGGGAAATATACACACCGTCAGAAGTAGTCAATGGAACATCGGTGCAAACAAAAGGAAAATTTACCATACTATAAGTTTAGTGTGGAATATCCCGTGTGAACTGAAATAAATAAATGTATCTAAATCATGAAGGGGACAATAGTTTCTCTTCATATTAGATTTATCTAAAGTCAGTTCCCTGGGGTAAATTTCCGCAGTCTGATTAGAGAGTTCTTGATGATTTAAAGCTAATATCAAGGAATGGTATGTGTTATTGAATTTTTCTATTAAATAAAATTTAGACGGATCTTTACTGAGTTGGTTATACACTTTTATTCATAACATTATAGGGACAAGAATGCAATTAAAAGATGCAACTATTTGTCGCATATTGTTCTCATAAAATGTGATAAATATTTATTTTTAAGAAACAAGCATGCACACTTACTTGAAAAAATCAAAGACTTGTACTTCAAGTTTCATAGAAAATCTTACTAGGTGAAATGTGTTTTAACGTTAAAAACTTTGCAATACAACTTGTATGAAAATACTTGCCCACTAAGGGAAACAATTTTTACAGCACATTATGGGTTCTCTTGTTTATTGTTGGTCCTGTAACTGGCGGCTTGAATAAGACCTATTTTTTTAATTTCATAATGTTTTGTCTGAGTATATCATAATGGTTTTTTTTTCTCGTGTGAATTCGTTCCATATCCTGAACCTTTTCAAAGGAATTTCAAAGAAAATCAAAACTGTGCTATGAAAATAGACATATATTAATATCTTGAATATATAGCAACATTTTCTTTACAACTATGAGATAAAACTATAAAATGTTACATAGAGAGAAATTAAAAAAACTCAACAAAGTTAAATAATTTTAAAATCATTTGACATTTCAGTCTTTAGTTTTCTATGTTGTGTTTTGTAGAATGCTGTTTGTCTTTTGGTCGTTTTTCGTTTTTTGCCATGATATTGATAGTTTGTTTTTTGCCATGATATTGATAGTTTGTTTTTTGCCATGATATTGATAGTTTGTTTTTTGCCATGATATTGATAGTTTGTTTTTTGCCATGATATTGATAGTTTGTTTTTTGCAATGATATTGATAGTTTGTTTTTTGCCATGACATTGTCAGTTCGTTTTTTGCCATGGCATCGTCAGTTTGTTTTTCGTCTAATGAGTTTGGCTATCCGTTTGATATCTTCCGCCTCTCTTTGTCAGCAAAAGAGGACAAAGGAATATGTTCATTCGTTATGCATTATATAATCGTACAAATGTATATACACATACAAATATACCATGACAGTTAATATTGATTAGAGTAATCAAAAGCTATAAAATACGGATGTTAGATTTTAGAGATTTTTTAATAATCGTTTTCCGTTTTGATTAAAGTCTACTTTTAACAAAAACGGAAAAAAATAATTGTTTTTTTTTTTATATTGTTCCAATAAGTACACATGTAAAAACTATTCTGTTTTTTAGAAACACAATGTCAAATGTGAATACAATAAATAATTCTATACATAGTGTTTTATCACAATATGTATTAGTATATCGTGCCTTACTATATTTTCGTTTAAATTTGAACTATATCTATTTATTTATTTATTTTTTATTTTCAATAATTGAAACATAATATGTATCATATAATGACAGTGCATCATAAGTCTATTTGGGTAGCTGAAAATCACTTGTATATTTGAATATAAGTGTTTGTTATAATTCAGGTTGCACTTTAATATTAAAATATTCATTCATTCAGTATAAGGTTTTGTATCATTGGTTTATACCATGTAAATACTATAATGTCACTATAGTACTTTCATTTTCATTCTAATTCTTAAAAACAGAAAACCTTTCATTATGATCATTGAATTTATTAAATGAAATGACGTCGATTCCCCTCTCTCTTAATTATTTATTTTTCGAAGCAATAAACATGCATACACTATTTGCATGTTCAATTAATAAATATATGATCGTGATAAAATTATCTATTGATTGTATAATGAAATAATTGTATTAAAAAGAACTAAAAATACATCACCAACCTTAATCCAGAATATTCCTCACTGAGATCTTCTTCTTCTCCGAATAAAAACTATTATCTAAAACAGACAGGAATTGGGGTTACGCATCCGTTTATGTCATTTTCGACGTGTATTTTGATTCCGATTGTGATTTTTTGTGATAAACAGTCTTAATATACTAGCACAAATATTGATTGCGAGGCTTCCTTGTAATGATAGCTGTTCTGTTGACAGCATGCGTTTCATTAAATATGACGAAAATCAACTTTGATAACGAGCGTATGGTCCACCATAAACGGAAATGTATAGGCGTTCTGAACACAATATACTTATATACAGTTTAACCATCACCATGGCGATTGAAATTTAAGACGAATGGTTATATAGGGGAAAAAACAGTTGCTATTTAATACATATTGCCATGGCCTTTGAAATCCTACCTTAGTATTTAACTGTAAATTGAACGTATTGATTTAGACATTTTCACTTGATTTTTGTTTTATCTGTTACAGATACTGCATCAAAAGGCGAGACGGTTTCCGAAAAATCTCTCTTCTCTTTCGTTTGTGTGGAAGTGATTGGTTCCATCCACCAAATACATGTACATGATAAATCATTTCCAATTCATCAATAAATGCATTCATCAAAATTTAAGAACAATTAGAATTTGTCTTTTTTAGACATAATTTTGTACGGTTTCGTATACATGTGCTGTAATTAGAGTTTCTTGTGTAAGCTGAGGACACTCGCTACTGTATGACAGTACGGAACCAAATAGTTTAGATACTTTTATGATCAAATGTTCAAACTATTTTTACTTTGGCATACCGAAGATACCTAAATCATATATATTTCATTTTATATTTATGAATGCAAAGTTGCTTTTTCGATATTTCAGCTACATTATATCTATAGTTTACTGCATTTTGTTTGTTAATGTGAATATTTTTTAAAGAGTTCGGGGAAGAGTAACATGTTTTCATTAAATGCGGTACCTGCGTTAAATAAAAACAAAATATCACTAGAATTGTATTATTATTGATGCAAGTATTTCAAGGATGACACTGCATGTATGTATGCAAAATAGTCAATTGGACTCAATGAGACTCTTATATGCTTAAAAAAAGCTCAGAAAAAGGGGAGGAAAAAGATTTATTTTCACTTTGTCAGAAAATCGTTATGAGTCATAAATATTCGCAATTTTAGGGGTGGTTTTAATTTTGATATCTACACTGTTAAGGGGTTACATATGAAATCCACATGTTATATAGGGATAACAGATCGGGTGGCACTTAAAACATATCTACACTGTTAGGTGGTTATATATGAAATCCACATGTACTATAGGGATACCAGATCGGGTGGCACTTAAAACATATCTACACTGTTAGGTGGTTATATATGAAATCCACATGTACTATAGGGATACCAGATCGGGTGGCACTTAAAACATATCTACACTGTTAGGTGGTTATATATGAAATCCACATGTACTATAGGGATACCAGATCAGTTGGTTCTTAAAACATATCTACACTGTTAGGTGGTTATATATGAAATCCACATGTACTATAGGGATACCAGATCAGTTGGTTCTTAAAACATATCTACACTGTTAGGTGGTTATATATGAAATCCACATGTACTATAGGGATACCAGATCAGTTGGTTCTTAAAACATATCTACACTGTTAGGTGGTTATATATGAAATCCACATGTACTATAGGGATACCAGATCAATTGGTTCTTAAAACATATCTACACTGTTAGGTGGTTATATATGAAATCCACATGTACTATAGGGATACCAGATCAGTTGGTTCTTAAAACATATCTACACTGTTAGGTGGTTATATATGAAATCCGAATGTACTATAGGTATAACAGATCAGATGGTTCTTAAAGCATATCTACACTATTAAGGGGTTACATATGTCATGAAATCCACATGTAATATAAGGATAACAGATCGGTTGGTTCTTAAAGCATATCTACACTGTTAAGGGATTACATGTGTACATGAAATCCACATGTAATATAGGGATATCAGATCGGGTGGCTCTTAGGCTTATCTACACTGTTATGGGGTTATATGTGAAATCCGCATGTAATATAGGGATACCAGATCGGTTGGTTCCTGAAGCATATCACCTACACTTTTGAAGGGTTACATATGAAATCCGCATGTAATATAGGGATACCAGATCGGTTGGTTCCTAAAGCATATCACCTACACTTTTGAAGGGTTACATATGAAATCTGCATGTAATATAGGGATAACAGATCGGTTGGTTCTTAAAGCATATCTAGACTATTAGGGGGTTACATATGAAATTCGTACGTAATAAAAGGATAACAGATCGGTTGGTTCTTAAAGCATATCTACATAGTTAAGGGGTTACATATGAAATCTGCATGTAATATAGGGATAACAGATCGGTTGGTTCTTAAAGCATATCTACACTGTTAAAGGGTTATATATGAAATCCGCATGTAAAATAGATACCAGATGGGGAATGTTGTTCTAAAAGGACACTCAAATACTTGATCGTTAGTTTGCCCGGAATTATTTCAAACCCTTAATCATGTAAAATGGTTTTGCACTTTAAATATATCAATCTTATTCAAGTTTATAGAACATAATAAGTACTGTGACCCCTGGCAGTTTTCAGCCGACCAAGGTTGGGGAGAAGATTGTATGGTCCATAAACTGACATTAGGACCGAAGTAAAAAGAAATATGTGTTATATTAGACTGATGAACTGTCAAAGTAATAAAAAAATCCAGCGCGATTTACATGTTTTACATTGTACACGTTGAATTAAGCCATATTTATCTTTCAGTGTTAGATAACGGCACAACACATATTTAGATGCAATTGCTCTCTTGATGTTAACACGTAGAATAATTTTTTTTATTACAATGGATTATCATGACTACTACTCATCATCCTAATTATCCAGTGAAGCATACGATATATGCCTTATAATATAGATCCGAACTGGTGTTCGATTGATAAAAAGGAGAACTATCATTACATATTGATTATGGCAATGATCAGGTTCCGTCTATCATATATAGTGTTATGTTTTCAATATACCAGTAAGGCAAACGTTATTACTATTCTCATTTTCTTGTTCTTTGTAAAAACAAAGTAAGGGTTTCTAGTTACAGGAAGCTATCGGTAAAATTTACATATTATTTCTTAAATTTTTCTCATGTGAATCAGAAAAAAATCGTGAAGCTCAAATACGGTACAGTCTAAATCTACAGAGCGGTACTTCATATAATACGTTTAGTTATAACAGAGACATATAAAACAACTAATTACCATAGAAATCATACAAAAAATTGAGATTTTTTCTTTAAGTTATGCATTTTTATAATCCAAAAGTAAAGTATGTTGTCAAGGGTTCCATATGTCTCTGGTTATACTATTGTAACTTATGTTATAATAATAATCAATAATAATAATAATAAATAAGTTTTATCTAGAGTCGGCATAGTATACTAATAAGGACATAACATAAGCTCTTAATGTTACATGTACATTTCTTTGTTAGCATTTTTTTTTTACTGGTCTTCCTTTATAAATGTACCTACACAGTAGATCATTTCCGATTATTTAAACAAAACTGCATTTTGACAGATAATGAATTCTATAATTTCTCTTTAAATTTTGGTGCATATTAAAGAGGTTACGGGGAAAACAATATTTGAACGCAAGCGCAAGCATACGAAATATAAACAAAATGGCATAAATGGACATTGCGTCCTTACTGCAGAAGTCAACGCTACAGAATTTGTACAAAGTATTCATAAATGTTGCTTAAATATTTGGTACTACATTATAAAAAGGATTATTTTACTTATATTGAGAAATAGTATCGTTTGTAGTATATTAGCGAGTGCAATATAATAAACTGTTCGGGACAATTTTCCTGAATGTTATTGCAATCAACCTATAATAAATCCAAATATTGGCTATAATGTTATTGACATACTTTTATTCAGCTGTCGAATCACATAGTCAACATTTTTACTGGCAGACATATTATGGTTGATGTGGTGCATTTCGCTCCCCATTGATCACGGTCACCATGTTTATTTAATAACCGATTTGTTTTAATTCTGGAGAGTTCATGCAATTCATATATTAGGGCAACGATATGTTTGTCTGTACAAAACAGTGATCATATTCATACCAAATTAACAATTTTCAGTTCTGAATATGTCTTCAGTATTTGTAGCTTGACGTGAAGCCTTTGTTATCAGTCAATATACATTCATATAAATTGTCGGTGAGTTTTTCGGATAGTTTGATTCGTCAATTTAACCTATATACTTCCGGCTTATTATATTTTCATCTTTTCTAAAAGGTAATCTGAGCTACTATATCGATTTGTATTGTCTTAGATATCACCATTGAAAACAAGAACCCTGGCTACGATTCTATTATCACAATGTTCAACACATTTAAATGGTTTAATTCATACCCGTTATGTGCTATTCGTAACAGTAGTTCCCTGCATTTATTTTGTATGCTATTTAATGGTCACTGGATGAGTTGTCGGATGAAGTAAAATTGTTTATTGAATACAGGATTTCATAGGAAATTCCAGTTTTTTACAGATTAAAAGTATTACTTTTTTATGGATGAAAAATATGTCAACTCGGCAGTCTCGAATATGTCATGTTCGTAGTTGTCTTTAAACATGTGTAACTGAATTCTGAAACGCAGCCTTTTCCTTCCTCGATGTTTCAATAACCGATCAGGCTACTGTTTCCTTTATTTACTTTGTTGCATTGTAAACCTTAATATTTTCAATCTTATTGGATATCTATTTTATTATCGAAATTGACGTAATCAATAGCAAAAAAAAAAAAACTTTAAAAATTCGACTAGCTATGCTCGGTAGCATTATACATGTAAGGGTCACCCTTTTTTTAGTTTCTCATCTTGGATCCATTGCCTGAAGTGTCTTGATCAAAATTATTCTTAGACGAATGATCTATGTTAAAGAGAGGCAGAGGATACCCAAGGGATATTCAAACCCCGCCATAATCCGTGGGTGATCCCATGTGCTACGGTATGGTAAGCAGCTCCTGCTCCACATTTGGCATCCGTCGTCATCTGAGAAACACATATTTCATAACGGCCAACCAACCCTTGTTTGGTATCGTTACAATTTTTGAAGGGATGACTTCAACTTCAGCACTTGGAACCCTTTATTTAGATGAGATCAACGAACTCCCAAATCCAGTTTGTATTTTATAAAATTCTACAAGAACGAGAGTAAGGTATTCGACCCCGGGTTTTGGTAATACATTTTGTACCTTTATTATTTTTTTCCCATACTTTCGCCTCCTCTTCTACAGTTGAATTAAAAGTAGTGTGTGAGACCTGATGAAAAGATTTGTAATTTCACTAACAATACACATACAATTTGCTGAAGTAAAAAGGAACTAAAACTTAAACAAAAAAAAACCCTAAAAATTCTTGAAAAAAAAATATATTCCAAATAGGTCTGTTCCATAAATTTCAAGAAGAAAGGAGGTAAAGAGAAAAAACAACCAAATTAGCCAGCAACCAATTCGTCAAAATTACTATACTGTTCGGTAATCATTTGTATTTTCCTAATTCTGGTATTAACAAACACGAATTGGATGACTCTTTATTGTATATGGGAGCATTTTGGTAGACTTCAAGTTAAAATCCATTTACCTCCTTCTCTTAAAAAAAAGAAAAGAAAACCAAAATATGGAATACTTAGATATCAGGTGCTAGTTTTTATTTCAACAGAAAATAATTACTATGACAAACGTTTAATTATCTCCCTGTTGCAAACATTCGAACTCATAATAGAATATTAGACTTCTTTTTTAGATTGATTTAAAAATGAGATATACAGTCAAGTCCTTCAAATTTAATGAAATTTATCCAATTATGAAATTTAAGACCAGAACCCAAATAACTGCAATAAAATTAATGAATAAAGTAGGAATAAAACCATGCTTGGGAATGATTTCATGGTATTAATATAGAATTATTAAATTTTTCAACACTATTAGATATCATACGTGACAGTTATAACGACATCACGAATCATATTTAATTTCATACCAGATGTTACATCGTAAAGACGGGAAAGGTGATAAATAATTCACAGAGAATTATGACGTCTGTACAAGGTTTTTTTAAAGTTGTTTTGTTAAGTACACGTAGTTTTTAGTTATATTTAGTAAAACGTTCTTGATGATAACTTTGTTTTAATGCCAAAGAAACTGTCAATGACGTTTGATTTTCACCCTCAGATATTTTTTTTTTTCGAAGGTCATTCTTTTTTTATTTTTTTATTTTTTTTTGTCAAAGTTCTTAAATCAGACTTTAGTTACTTTATTATCATTGAATTGATGATATTTCAAACTTTGAAAGAATTTTTTTTAAACTGGTTAAAACCCAGAACCTGTTTATGTGCCTGTACTAGTTCAAGAACCACGTTCTAAATATGCATGAAATATTTGGTCCTGGACGTTTAATCAGTAGTTGTTTCACTGCAGACCGGAATGTTACGTAAAACCGGAATATTTTTTTTTTTTTGTGTGTTTCCGTTTCTTAATGTTATTTGTTGTTGATCATATTATTTTTTCGTAAGTGTTTAAGGTTCGATGTTGTTTTAGCTCGACATACTGTATAGTCACGTGCAATTGGATTTGTCTGTTTGATTTTATGTTATATTTTAAAAGAATATGTTAATCGTCGTTTTTACTGGTATAAGAATGATTCTTTTGTGTATCGAACAAGTCAACGGAATTGTTCACCCTTGTTTCACTTTCAATGTTGACATTCTTTCCTTTTAATGAATGAACACACCTAGTGCATGCGTAACCCATCTCCAGCGATGTTTTTGATCTTATTTTGACAAATTTCGTCCAAAATGACTGCCTGTAACGAAATATCATTTCAAAATTCCGCTTGTATTAATACTTGAAACAAAAAAAATCGTATTTTATTTTTTTGTCTAAATCGTAGCTAATGCCACTTTAAGTGAAATCCATGTAAATTCGACCAATTTGTGTATTTCCTAAAAGCCGTTTACGCTATTTGCTGAATTTCTATCAAAATCTGTTTATCAGGTAATTGGGTTATTGTTGTGTATGTGATAATTTTCACCTTTCTTTATTTCAATGAATATTTAACTGAATTCTTTCTTTAAATGACAAAATTAACAAGTCATAAATTCACACCCAGGCTGATAGCCCATATCAGCCCTATGTGAAGTCACGTGGTCGGGTTGATATGGGGTTAACAGCCTGGTGCGTTCGTACATCGATAGTTTGTGATAAAAAGATTTGTACATGTCCTTGTCCATATCGGCTCGGGTATCAGCCCTAAGCCCATATCAGCCCTCGACTAACGTACCGGGATGATACCCGCGGCGATAAGGAAAAGGCCATGTCTTAATCATTATTTATTAAACATACCTTGAGGCACACAATGGCAATATGAACTAAATATTCTGTGACGGTTTTATTGAAATCAAATCGTCCGAGGTTTAATAAAAATTGTGTGCACAATATGCCTACCCCGTTGTAGATACTATTTGAATAGAAAATGCACAATTGCATGATGTAAAATATTCTGGAAATAATAATTGAAATCCAGTAAGTGGTTTTGGTACAGTTCCATAAGACCGGATATGAGGCAATGGCAGGACGCCAGTACAAAATCACGAAATAAAACTCATACAAAAGACACACAACGCATACCTACATAAGCACAACAAACCAAATTTGTACTATTCAGGCTAGATCCTTTGAATTCAATATTTTCGCGTTGATTTATAAATTAATAATAAATAAAGTCAACTTATAAATGGTCCTAATGAGTAAGTATAAATACAAAATTGAGAAATACTGAGTGTAAGCATATTAGTCAATAGCGAGCTGGTTCTGTGATCGCACAGGTTAGCACATAAACAAACATTTGTTTTGCATTCATTCTTTTCATGGCTGTAAACTGCACAAACTTTTCCAAATATCTTTAACAGCCTGATTTCATGCTGAATAAAATCTCTATATATCCTTAGTGGTTGGGATTGTTTTCTGACCTCTACGCTGATTCCTTGACAAAAAGGGTTAATGGGTATGATACCAAATCTGGACAGTGAAATCAAATATTATAGAGAAATATACGTAGTCACATTTGTGCTTCTTCTAAATATTTTGAGAATAAGAATCATTCAGTCAGTCCGTCTGTTTGTTTCTGTTTGTCTGTTCACGAATATTGTTAGCGCAACTTCTTCTTAACCGTTCACTGGATTTTAATTAACTTTACTTTAAAAGAATAAGATGCTTCATTTTGTAATTTTATTTGGGGGTAAAAGTACATTTTTTATGAAGTGTTCAAGCGCTTCGTACTAAAAATGTGCACACGATCAATGCTTTTACAACCCTATAAAATTACAAAAAGAATCATTCAATTCTTAGAACTACATTTTATGCTACAATCACGGAATTACCAGTTATATCAAATTCTTCGTTTGCTTTCCTTTGTATTGTTGTGTCATTGGAAGCACGTGCTGTCACGAATGCTGTATTTTATTGGGAAATAAAATCTAATTTTGGACTTCCCCTCAATTGTTGTCAGCTAATTAGAAATAAGGATTCTTATGAAACATACGTGTAATGTAATTACTTCAATAAAATACACAATATAGCAATATAAGTCTGTTCGGACAATGCGAGAAGATTTGATATTTTGTGCATGTGTAGTACGACATATGAAATTGAAGCTGACCAATTGGCGACTGTGATCCGAAATCTAAGTAGAGCATTTAAAAATAAACAGATTCAAATTAATCAGCTGCCCCAGAGTTTCTAAGAATGATCTCGGTTCGTTATTCTCTGAAAAGAGTTCATTTATTACATGAGTTATTCTCGCAATTGTGGTCATATTATTTTATCATATCACCATGCAGATACGTATACGTCAACGTATATGATACAATTAGATGCGTTTTAAATTGACCGACCTCTTTTAAAAGGAAAATGGTATGATAATAGATATATTTTGCTTTTTTGATTAATTGAGCATTTAATTGACACAAATACGTATTTGTTTTGGTTTAGACATTGTCGAGGGATATATAAATACAATTCCCCAAAATATGTGAGAAAATAAAATTAAGCAACCTACATGTACAATATGTGATAATAGAACAGCTGTTATTCTACCAACTGCGATAATAAGCAGGGGTTTGAGAACTGATGAAGGCACGTGTTCCTGTTTCAATCCACCAATCTTAACTGTTGTCATTATATTTTGGCGCCCTTTTATGGTTTTTCTATATCAAATTTAACTAGAACGTTTTCTTTTATGAGGGCTTACAAGAGGTCTTACATAATATTTCGTCATTCAATTGGTTTTCAAGATTTTTAAGTTGTTTATATAATAATAATTTATAATCATTTGGGGTGTCATGACCAACTTTACATCGTATAAAAGTCAATGAGACGGTAATGCTCTTCAGACTTCATAGCTAAAATACAAGATGAAGACTTTCCTATTCATATGTCTTTTACCAGGTATGTTTGATAAAATAATCGAAATTATTGTAGTTTGAACACGAATTATTCTGTGTTGCTGAACATAGGGAAATATTTCGCAGTTTTCTTGATGAATTGTGAAATATTCAATTTTTTTTTTATCTTATACCATATTATATTCTTTTCTGAATATAAACAATAGATTCTATGTAGTATATGGTAGGCACAGAAATTGCAATTTGATTGCATTTGTGTATTCATGTTCAAAGGTGGAAAAAAGATACGAAATAGATGTTTTGCATGACATACTAGAAAAGATACGAAACAGATGTTTTGCATGACATACTAGAAAATATACAAATTATAATAAGTAAAGTGTTTTTTCATTGCTTTATAATGGTTTTACTTTAGGCTTTTTGTAGTAGGCGCTAACGAGTAACTTTCATTCATTGACTTAGGAGCTTATACGTAATATTAAGCAAAACCATGATGATCTTTAACGTAGATTTAAGGTTAAGTCATTGATAACATATGTTAATGTCTGTACGGAAACAGGTTTAACACTGTCACTTAGTCTTGATCAGTAATCATTGATAACAGATGTTAATATTTGTAAGGAAACAGATTTAACACTGTCACTAAGTCTTGTTCATAAATCATTGATAACAGATTTGTGTCTGTAAAGAAACAAATTGAACACTGTCACTAATTCTTGTTCATTATTTATTAATAACAGATGTTAATATCTGTAAGGAAACAGGTTTAACACTGTCACTAAGTCTTGTTCACTAATCATTGATAACAGATGTTAATGTCTGAAAAGAAACAGGTTTAACACTGTCACTTAGAATATAGCAAAGTGCTCTCGACCAATGAAAGTGTAGAATTTGGTGTTCCTTACTTGTGAAGAATGCATGTAAATCATGTTCTTAATAAGGGATTGTCCTTTTGTTTACTTTGAAGTTTACTTGTGCAGTACAATTGATACCGTTTGTGTTATTATGTGAATATTTAGAACTTTCAAATTACAAAAAAGTAAGCAATATCAAAGAAATTCTAAAGAGAAGAAAAAGAAAAAAAAACTTTTAAAATTAAATATAACCTTAATCTTTAGCTATTACGCTTATCAAAACTCAGATTACTGTATTCGCAGTTAAAAAAATAGTCATTTCCAATATACCGGTACATACAGGAAATTGAATTTACTTTTGAATTTCCTATAAAAAGCATTTCCTTTTAACATTTAAATTTTAGTTGATTATGTAGTATTTGATGTAAAGAGCTGGAATAAAATTGGCAGTGAAATACCATTTAGTTATAACTCTGATTTTGAATTTATTAAATTGAACTGTAAATACACAAAAAGATACTTCCTCACTAAAACATAATTTACACTCATACTCACAATTAGGAAACTTATACGATTCTTCCATTTCATTGTAACGTTGTGTCATCTAATGTCTAAAATACAAATTATTAAAATTCCCCAAATCAAAAGTAAGTCCTTACATCACTAAGACCAATACATAAATGAAATGCCTAAAAGGGAAGTCGTCCATTAATTATAAACATTGCAGTGACAATGAAACAAATTCTTGAATAAAACCAATCAAGAGATCATTTAAGCCTCTCATGATAAGTACTTGCTAACGCTTGTACTTAATAATGAAGAAAGGGATTATCATTCTCTTACATATACTAAGTCTTGTTCACTTGTAATTTCACTAAGTCTTGTCCATTAATCATCGATAACAGATGTTAATGTCTGTACGGAAACAGGTTTAACACTGTCACTAAGTATTGATAGTGTCTTATATTGAGGTAGTCTAAGAGTCAACTTCCGCTGGACTCGCCAATTCAATTGGAGCCTACACAACGTAGCTTGCATACTGAGAATTTAGAGAAGAGTGAAGGACTTTTTGGAAAATCCCAGATATGAAATAAATATGGGATAAATTGGCCCTCCGTTTTTATTTATGTTTTTTATTACACTTGGGCGGATTTAAAGCGTAACATTTATTATATACTCTTTTTCATATCCGCCTACTTTTATAACTTAACACGACGTAAACAGTACAGATAAGTGATTATTTATTCTATGATTCCTTTTTTCTGTTTTGTTTTTAAGTCTGAAATGATTTTGAACCGATAATGACTAAAATATAGCTATTTGGAAACGTTCAAAACGTTATGATCATTAACCGCGCTGGACGTGGCACGAGGTTGTCCGTTGTCCAGAGGTGAATATGATGGTAAGAGGGGTATATAAAGTTTTGTTCTACGTCACGGGGGATAGTCTCAACCAATTAAATATTTATTTCGCTATCAATGTTTACATACAGTGGAATTATATGATTTATAACGCTAATAAATTTAGGTATTGTTCTTCAATTTTCTTTTTGGCTGTATAGACTGACTGGTCAAGATTTTGATTTATACAGTCATAGTTTTAAAAGCATTTCGTCTGATATAGATATGGAATGAACATCTATTCTCTTATTCATAATTTGCAGCAAGACTTAAATATTTCGCTGAACCCTTTTACATTTGTTTTAGAATTAATTCCCTAATTTGTTGTCATAAGCACTTGGCCAATCTATAAAGACTTAATTTATTTTGGTAAGCATCCGCTTATTTTTTCAAACTTTTGTTTGTTTATTTTCTATTGATTTTTATTCTAAGCTGTTTTTGCTGACCCGCAGACAACATTCCTCTCTATTTTCTATTGATTTTATTCTAAGCTGTTTTTGCTGACCCGCAGACAACATTCCTCTCTAGAATTGTCAACGGACAAGATGCTGAACCTAATGAATTTCCATGGCAGGTATCGCTCCAGTACCGGTCTGATACTACCCAGGAATACAGTCACATATGTGGTGCCGTAGTGTTAGATGCAAACAGAATTTTAACAGCAGCTCATTGTGTTGAACATGAGTAGGTTTTTATGATACTTAAACACACCCACAATTATTTGGTATTGAGATAGTTTGGGGCTTATTCATAGCCTGTTGGTTTCAAGTCCTGAATTGATAAGTCTAAATTCAAAAGACAATCGTTGACAGTGAAACAACTATTAAGCTAATTAATACATACAACTACATAAACAGTGTACATTGTGCTAATTGTCCTATTTTACGGTTGATAATGGTGAAAATCCAACTAATCATTAGTGAACATAGTTAAAAAGCTGCTCACGATAGAGTCTTTTGCAAAATTAAAAAAATTCTTAAAATTTAAACCTAAAATACGTCAAGGATACACAACTTTAGATACATTTTTATTCTGTCCTACTGAAGCATTTGCAATACAACATATTAACAAATTCTTGGTATATTAAACTCTTAGTGTTATACGTTATCTACATGTATACATTAGAATTCCATATAAATTGTAACCTACATACATGCATGTGACTGAACGTAGACAGGGAAGAAGAAAAAAGAACGACTTTTGCTTTATACAGTCGATTCGATACTACCTGAACTAATCCATGTATGCTCATATGATCAAACTAAAAAAATTATCAAGAAGAAATTTCCGTTTAAATTTAGGCACTGAAACTTAGGGATGAAAGAATTAACCTTAGACTGTATTGGCTGTATGCTAAGGTTAAAGTTGATTTGAGAGCTGTCAAGCATGTTTTGCATATGCTATGATATAACTTATCTTATGTTTGGACCTAATCGTTTTGAATATTTGACACGTTTCATCTCTTCGTAATTGTGATAAGATTGTTTGTTAGCGCCCAATTACCACAAACTTGAGACAGTGGTGTAACCGCACTATATAAGAACCAACAGAAGGAAAGGGTTTGACTCATCAGATCGACACATAGCAAACAAACCACACAAAAAAGACAAATTAAGTTCTCACCGAGATATTCAAATAATCTAGCACAGTGAATATCATTTATGATATTAATACAAACTAAGTTGAACTACACAAAAAATAAATGAAATGAACTCGACAAACAATTGTGAAGGGTGTTGTCTGTATACCTTATCAGCTTTTCACTCTTTTTTAAAGTAATTGAAAACTAGAATAAATTTGATTTTTTTTCACTTTGCAGTCCAACAATTTCAAATTACGAAATTGTTGTTGGGGGACACAGTCTTACTGAACAGAATGGGAATGAACAACGTAGGAAACTCAGCGACTTAAAGATAGTAAGTTATTATTTCATAAGAATATTTTTTTATATAACGGGCGTCATTTTGGATACTCGTATTGATTTATGATTCATCTAACTAGCGTTAACGCTATTTTAATTGTTTTCTTATAGTAAACGTTACCTTGATCAATCATATCACGTTATGATTTGTTTTATTACTAAAATCAATCTAAAATTGCATATTATTTGTAGCACGCATCTTACTCAAATAGCGGCGGATATAACAATGACATTGCAGTTCTGATACTTTCCAGTAGTTTGACGCTTATAACTGACATAGTGGAACGAGCTACACTTCCTTTATCGGCGCAAACTTTTACCGGAAAGAACTGCTACATTTCCGGATGGGGAAGAACAGTTGCGAATGGACGTATGTATATATATACTTTCACGAAGCAACTTTAACGTTAAACTGAGAAAGAGGTATTGTCAATTTGTTTCACTCACAAAGTCCAAATCCTAGGTACAACTTGGCAAAACAAAGTGGAATTAGATTATTAAAGAGTCGGAAGAAAAATACAACAATATTTACATCAATCCGTAAAATCGAAATGGTATTCAGCATGTTGCAGTCAATTCGGACAAAACATTACATATTTTATATATTTTAAACGTAGTATTTTGAATTGTAGGCTTTCAAAAAGTAAAATGAATGTATTTGTATCTGAAACCAAAAGGGGCCTAAAAATATCAATACATATTATGCTATTGCCAAATATCATTTCCTTGAATGGCCTGTCGCAAAAACAAAGGATCACATTTCTCTCTTGCAGAATTAAGTCATGTGTCCATGTACTTTTGTGAACAGTAATAAACAAGATGTGTCTGTGTTTGGAGGTGATGTTATTTTTAGAAATGGCAGTTGCCTTGAACTTATCATTGTGGGAGTATATGTTGCCTATATTCCGTGTAAATAATGTTTTATGATTTGACCTCAAATGGTGTTCAAATATTTTATTTTCATACCTAGCTTTTTTAAATTACACCAAAACGGAGTTCCAGTCAATACTAACAGCAAACTCAGTTTTCCATTGTATGTGTGCCTTCCGTGTGAAATTTTGATGAAGTACCTATTGGAAATCTCTCGGTTTTAATTTTTTTGGGTGTTATTTTACCACGAGAAATTGTGTACTACTCTAATTTGTATAAATTGGTAAAGTGTTGATTCCCTTTAATATATAGTTCGTGTTAGGTATGACATTTTCCAAATTTCGAATATTCGGTAATGACTTTTATCAGTAAGTACGTAAAACATTGAATTACAGACTTCGAAAGTATTCATTTAATTATTCCATACATAATAATTGTTATTTTACTCTGACAAATGATTCTAATGTCCGAGTTGCAAGTAGTCTAGTTTTCAGTATGTCTTCCTTCGTATTAGGTGTATATGTTACAGTGAATTTGTATAATCAGGGATTATTTAGAATCCCAGATTTTTCAGGGACTTTGCATAATCACTAAAATCATTAGTGATTATATATAATCACTGAAAATGACTAATGATTTTACATAATCACTGAAAGTTTTAAGAATAATTTTACAAATTCCCTGAAATGATTTTAGGGATTATTAATAATACACTGTTGTATTGCTTAATAAGAATAAATATAGACAAATAAATCATATGTATAACCCGGGGGCTCTTTATGGTTTAAGTGGACAGTTTTAATTCCCTGTCCATTTATCAAATTCTTATTAAAGTGAACAGTTTGTTCGGTGATATTCTATTTAACTGTGTTGAATAGATATAAGAAGATGTGGTATGAGTGCCAATGAGATAACTCTCCATCCAAGTCACAATATGTAAAAGTAAACCATTATACTGTAGGTCAAAGAACCACATTAAGTCATAAACAAAAAGTATTTAAAATTGAAATTAATGATACCAACATTAATGCACAGATTATATAATTTGCTGTAAAACAAAGCGGATAAAAGTTATTGAGCATCAATTGTATGTTTTACATTGGCTGTAATGTAATGATACCGATTCCGCATGTTGATCAATGAAAAGGAGATCCCAAAAATATAATGGCCATTGTTCATAAAAGGACTGAAAACGATAATGCCTGGCTACATGTACGAACTATGAATATTTATGTTTCTAAAGATGTTAAATATGATTTTATAGAATAAATTATTTAACTTTTATTCATTGTCTCTTAATTTCAGTTGTTATGTATAATTCCTGACATTTTTGATAGTGATTATACATAATTCCTGAAAATTTTAGTAATTATACATTTCAGGGATTCTGCATAATCCCTAATTATATACATTTATTGTAACAAGTCTAAATTGAAAACAACGTTCAAACATGAGGTGCAAAAAATATCCGGATTTCGACAATTAATGTCTCTTCAGTGATGTTAGGAATCGAAACGGTATTTGGAAGGCCATATAATTTACCTCAATTTAGAATAGACTGTTGAATTTTGAAAGAGTCAAAATAGGATGAACGATCCGTTTTACACCTCATGTTTGCGGTATACCATCTTTTCCGCAAGTTTATTGTTTTCTCTTTGGTAATAAATCAATAATAAGATCTATTTTGTTACATCTTGTGATCCGTTTATTTGGCAATCGCCAATGGCAGTCAGCAGGGTTTAAGAACATCAGTTGTTCGACATGCTAGTCAAATGTGTTTTGTTAAAATAAACTTTTTCACTCATTTGGTCTTTTGGAAAATGTCATTTATTGTAACATATGTATATTTTTCTTAATTCCGATAAAGAGTTGAGGGCATTTTTATAAAACGATGGAATGTATGATAATTTAAAATTAGATAGATCTGTGCATCTACATGATAAATTCTCTTCATCAATTATTACGTCTCATTTATTAACAAGCTTTTACCTCAAGTTACGTGTCATGTCAACAAAACACAAGTTTACGAAATCTCTTGATATATAAACAGGAGTACACCTAAATATCTTAATATATAAACAGAAGTAAAAATAAAACCTAAATCTCTTGATATATAAACAGAAGTAAACCTAAATCTATTGATATATAATTAGAAGTACACCAAAATCTCTTGATATATAAACAGAAGCACACCTAAATCTCTTGATATATAAACAGAAGTACACCGAAATCTCTTGATATATAAACAGAAGTACAGCTAAATCTTGTTTTTGTTCAAATTTGGGTTCTATGTTATTAGTTTTAACAGCAATAATAATAAATTCGTTAGATATACATACCTCTAGATGTTTTTTTTTTTTTAGTCCTTACGTTGCTGTCTCATTGACACACTTTAATCATAACATTTTTATAAAACGACTCATAATATTTAATACTAGTATCAGATCTCTTAAATAAATGATGACCTGTTCACTTCAAAATTAAGAGATGAAGGTTTTAACATTTCATAGTTTAACTTTACTTTTTCAGCATTACCAGACATTCTGCAAAAAGCAGCTACATCTGTAATTACACACAGTGATTGTCGCACTAGACTAGGTTTTACTGGAATCTTGTACCTGAGCGCACAGGCTCACATCTGTATATATTCTGGATCCAATTCAGCTTGTAACGTATGTCTCTTTATTTATAATTCATATTTATGCAGCTGCAAATAATGCAATTGGCTTTTTATTTGTTATTTTTTTTATTGAACTATTCACCCATTCATTTTTGTTAGATATGTATGTTCTTTGTATACGCAATCTGGATGAAAATAAATCGCGGTTATGGTAGGTACGACAAGTGTATGTACATGTTTAAGTCAGACAAGTGTATTTACAAAAAAATGTACAAGTCATGTATAAGTCTGTATGACGATGATACACAGATATGGTACGAACAACAAATGTACGTACATGTATAAGTCTGTATGAAGATAATACACGGTTATGGCAGGAACGCCAAGTGTATGTACAGGTATAAGTCGATATGTATGACAATGATACAGGGTTATGATAAATACATCGAGAGTACGTACTTGTATAAGTCTGTATGAAGATAAAACAGGTTATGGTAGGTACGTATAGTGTATGTAAACGGTAAGTACCTCAAGTGTACGTACATGCATAATTCAGACAAACGTATGTACAATTCATGTATAAGTCTGTATGACGATGGTACATGGTTATGGAAGGTACCTCAAGTGTACCAACATGTATGAGTAAGTCAAGTGTATGAACATTTATAAGTCAGTCAAGTGTTTGTACATATAGATTCTACCACTGCATCGAGTGTGATACGATATTTATCCACTCGAGACAGTTAAATTTTCAAATTTAAAACGCGAGGCTCGCCGAGCGTTTTAAATATTTAAAATTTAACTGTCGAGAGTGGATAAATATCGTATTACACGAGATTTGGTGGTGGAATCTGTTTCTCTAATGATTTTCAAACAATATGCAGGCAAACTTCTTCCTTCTTTTTGAATGATCTGCAAAAAGATGTGTTCTTTCTATGTGACGTCATCAGGCATGGTCGCCTTTTTTCATGCCGTCACAATAGGAAATTTAGAGGAAAGCAAGAAAATTCTACGTCATAATCGGATTTTAACCAATGAAGAACTGAGATCAAACGAACCACACGTTCATTAAATTTTTTTTATACAATGGGTGCAGAAAGGGATAAATTGACGAAGAATTAGAGAAATATAGATTCTACCACTGCATCGAGTGTGATACGATATTTATCCACTCGAGACAGTTAAATTTTCAAATTTAAAACGCGAGGCTCGCCGAGCGTTTTAAATATTTAAAATTTAACTGTCGAGAGTGGATAAATATCGTATTACACGAGATTTGGTGGTGGAATCTGTTTCTCTAATGATTTTCAAACAATACGCAGGCCAATTTATTCCTTCTTTTCGAATGATCTGCAAAAAGATGTGTTCTTTCTATGTGACGTCATCAGGCATGGTCGCCTTTTTTCATGCCGTCACAATAGGAAATTCAGAGGAAAGCAAGAAAATTCGACGTCATAATCGGATTTTAACCAATGAAGAACTGAGATCAAACGAACCACACGTTGATTAAATTTTTTTTATACAATGGGTGCAGAAAGGGATAAATTGACGAAGAATTAGAGAAATGTGTATAAACTCATGATAGATGCAAGACGCGCGTTTTGTCCATAAAAGATTCATCATTGACCTCGAATTAAAAAAGTTAATAGGCCAAATAAAATACAAAGTTGAAGGTTTTGCCAAATACAGCTTAGAAAATCTATTCCTGGGGTATAAAATCAGTAGTTTTTCGTAAAATGCAAGTGTTGTTAACAGTTGATTTATAATTATGACCATGTTAATGATACAGATAAATCGGTCAAGTGTATGCATATGTATATAAACTCATGATAGATGTAAGACGCACGTCTTGTCTACAAAAGACTATCAGTGACGCTCGATTTAACCGCTTTAAAAACGCCAAATAAAATACAAAGTTCAAGAGCACCGAGGACCCAAAATTCCGAAAGGTTTTGCCAAAAATAGCTTAGAAAATCTATTCCTGAGTAGGAAAATCCTTAGTATTTCGAAAAATAAGTCAGTCAAGTGTATGTACATGTATAAATCAGTCAAGTGTACGCACATGTATAAGTTAGTCAAGTATATATACATGTATTAGTCATTCTAGTGAATGCACATGTATAAGTCAGACAAGTAAATATACATGTATAAGTCAGTCAAGTGTACGTACATGTATAAATCAGTCAAGTGTATGTACATGTATAAATCAATCAAGTGTACGCACATGTATAATTCAGTCAAGTAAATATACATGTATAAGTCAGTCGTGCATATATAAGTCAGACAGGTGTATGTACATGTATAAGTCAGTCAAGTGTATGTGCATGAATAAGTTAGTCAAGTCTATGTACATGTATAAGTCAGTCGAGTGTACACACATGTATAAGTCAGTCAAGTGTATATACATGTATAAGTCAGTCTAGTGTATGAACATGTATATGTCAGTCAAGTGAATGCACATTAATTAGTCAGTCTAGTGAATGAACATGTATAAGTCAGATAAGTGAATGTACATGTATAAATCAGTCTAGTGAATGCACATGTATAAGTCAGACAAGTAAATGTACATGTATAAGCCAGACAAGTGTATGTTCATGTATAAGTCAGTCAAGTGTACGCACATGTTTAAGTCAGTCAAGTATATATACATGTATAAGTCAGTCAAGTATATATACATGTATAAGTCAGTCGTGTATGTGCATGTATAAGTCAGTCAAGTCTATGTACATGTATAAGTCTATGATAATGATCGATACACGGTAATGCTAAGTACGTTAAGTGACGAGTTTATATTTCTCAGTTTGAATATACGCATGTTTTCGGTGAATTTTTAAAGATAACAAATCTTAAATACTTATTGTGAAATTATGATTATACCCGCTGAAATGTAATAAAAGTGAAATTTCGCAATCTGCTTTTCAATGCAAAATATTTGTCAAGCTCAAAAATTTACAATTGTTCTTTAAATATTTCTTTTTTGGCTTTTTGCTAAATAGAGTTATTGTTAGGGGTTACTGTAAATTCATAAATTATTGCGTTATTAACAGTCAGAGAAAAACATGACCTTGTGCAATGCCAAAATAAAGGAATCGACAGACTGGTGTGCCGTTAAAGTGACTATGTGTATAACAAAACTATTTAGTGTAATTTAATTCACTGATAATAAAATCAATATTCATACCAATAAAACAATATTCAAAGATCTAATTACAGTGTTGAATTGGTAACCCTTTAGAATATGTTCATCTAAAGGATTGATAAGTTTACCCGGATCGTTTATAAATTTTCAGGCTCGGTAAACAACATCACCGTAAAATTTAGGATGTGCTATTCCGTCTGAAATAAGTTTTTTATAGGTACAGCCAAACTTGCAAACCAAATCTGTGTGTCTATGAAAGAATTTAGTAAAGGTTTTAAATAATTTGTGGTAACGCAATCCCTGACTTAATAATTTACCAGTAGTACATAGATTACGCTCATTGAACTCCAAAACATCACTACAGACGTGCATAACGAACGAGTTGGGATATATAAACACCGTAAGATGATGCCAGAGGATCATCACCGCCCAAATAAGGAAAATTAACAATAGGGAAAGAAAATTCATCCCTTTTGTCGTAAATTTTTGTGTAGAATTTCTGGTGTAAAACTGAAATGTCTAAATCTAGGAAAGTTAATATTTGATTTGTTTAAGGTAAGTTTCTGTGGGTAAATTTCGGCAGTTATTTAGACAATTCTTGATTATTTAACAAAACAATATCACCAAGATAACGGTAAATGTTGTAGAATTATTAATTAAATGAAATTCAGACGGGTCTTTACTGAGTTTGGCCATAAACTATGATTCATAACAGTACAGGCAGAAGTCTGCTATTAAAGGGGCACAATTGGTGCCCATAGGAAAACCTACAAACTGTCTATAAACCTTATTGCCGAAACGTACATAAACTCATTATTTTTTTTTCTTTTGGTCATAGCATAGTCTTTATCTTTTTCGACTCATGTTTTTTGTTTACTTAAAGCAAGATTAAAATGTTTCTCTTTTTTTACTGTATTGGAATTCTGGGCATTGTATAAGCTTGTGCCTTCGTGCAATGGTAATGATTGATTGATTGGCGTTTGCTTTAACCATATGCAATGGTTATGACGTTGCTGTCTGAAATCTTCTAAGAAGTACAACCACTGATAAGAGAAGGACTTCAACTAAGCAGGATAGGTACTTTGAGCCTTCTTTTGAAAGGCACGATTTCTGTCCTTACCCAATACATCTTTCTCCAGTACTATTAAATTCACCACCGTTTATCCTAGTCGCAACTCCAACTCAAATGGTTATTTTCTAATTTATTCTCGTCTTGAATACAAGGATGAAATCATGTTCAAATGTATCAATGAGTTGGAAAATGCAGATTATTTTGTTTTGACATATCCTTTTAAATTAAAAAAAAAACGTATGCAGGTAAATTTGGGAATGATAAAAGACAAAAATTGCGAAGGCAAAAAATGAAACAGAAAAAAGTGTTGCACATGACCTTAAATACATGCTCGAAAGAAACAATAATTCTAATGATAATTTTAAAAACTTTTATTAAAAAAGTTTCAAATGTTATGAGGGTGTGGATGTGGGTTTACAAAACAGAGAATAATGGGCAAAAATATAAAGACTAGAGAAAAATGGACCAAAAAATAAAGAATAGAGAAAAATGGCCTAAAAATTAAAGAATACAGAAATGAAGGATCCCCCATCCAGACCCTCTGATTTGACCACCTGTGTATTCATAGTTTAAAAAGATCACGACGTTAAAATTTCTCTGTTTTGATTTATTTACCTAATAGATTAATATCAACCTAGTACACTGGCTGCTTATTATCAATACCTAATAGATTTATATCAACCTAGTATACTGGCTGCTTATTATCAATACCTAATAGATTTATATCAACCTAGTACACTGGCTGTTTATTATCAATATCTAATAGATTTATATCAACCTAGTACACTGGCTGCTTATTATCGATACCTAATAGATTTATATCAACCTAGTACACTGGCTGATTATTATCAATACCTAATAGATTTATATCAACCTAGTACACTGGCTGTTTATTATCAATATCTAATAGATTTATATCAACCTAGTACACTGGCTGTTTATTATCGATACCTAATAGATTTTTATCAACCTAGTATACTTGCTGCTTATTATCGATACCTAATAGATTTATATCAACCTAGTACACTGGCTGCTTATTATAGATACCTAATAGATTTATATCAACCTAGTACACTGGCTGCTTATTATCGATACCTAATAGATTTATATCAACCTAGTACACTGGCTTCTTATTATCGATACCTAATAGATTTATATCAACCTAGTACACTGGCTTCTTATTATCGATACCTAATAGATTTATATCAACCTAGTACACTGGCTGCTTATTATCGAAACCTAATAGATTTATATCAACCTAGTACACTGGCTGCTTATTACCGATACCTAATAGATTGATATCAACCTAGTACACTGGCTGCTTATTATCGATACCTAATAGATTTATATCAACCTAGAACACTGGCTGATTATTATCGATTCTATAATAGATTTATATCAACCTAGTACACTGGCTGATTATTATCGATACCTAATAGATTTATATCAACCTAGTACACTGGCTGATTATTATCAATACCTAATAGATTTATATCAACCTAGTATACTGGCTGAATATTATCGATACCTAATAGATTTTTATCAACCTAGTATACTTGCTGCTTATTATCGATACCTAATAGATTTATATCAACCTAGTACTCTGGCTGATTATTATCGATACCTAATAGATTTATATCAACCTAGTACACTGGCTGATTATTATCAATACCTAATAGATTTATATCAACCTAGTACACTGGCTGATTATTATCGATACCTAATAGATTTATATCAACCTAGTACACTGGCTGATTATTATCAATACCTAATAGATTTATATCAACCTAGTATACTGGCTGATTATTATCAATACCTTATAGATTTATATCAACCTAGTACACTGGCTGCTTATTATCGATACCTAATAGATTTATATCAACCTAGTACACTGGCTGCTTATTATCGATACCTAATAGATTTATATCAACCTAGTACACTGGCTGATTATTATCGATACCTTGTAATTCTATTTTATGCTTTTTAATTTATTGATATATTTAATTTACATAGGGCGACTCGGGAGGACCTCTTGTTTGTGACGTCAGTACAACCAATACTGAAAATTGGCAATTAGCAGGTGTGACGTCTTGGGGATTAACTGATTGTCCAGTTGGCTCTCCGTCTGTTTACGTTCGAATCAGCAGCTATATTGACTGGATTAGTATGCAGTAAATGTTATTCGGGAATAGTTGTGTTGACACATAAAAAGAATAATTGCGTAATTAATTATATCTCTTATTCAACTTATGAAATAAAATAAATCATTCACAATGCGCTTTGTCACCTTTTGTTATAGTCTGACTGATATTGTTCCTATGCTTTATGTATTACCTATGAAAGACATCATACGATTTTGGCCAGTTATCACGCTGTGCTAGCAATTTTTGTCACTGTAGACTCAAATACTTAGTCTACTGTTTACAAAAAAACAACATTACCCCCTTACCCAACCGTCTTGAAGGTTTCGTGGTAACATGATCGCATTGAGTACGGGAGGGGGTGTCAACTCCCGGTCGGGTCAACCAAATACTTTAAAACTGGTATTTGTTGTTTTATCGTTAAGCGCGCAGCATTAATGGACTAAGAGAAAAGCCTGGTAGGGTACTAGATTTACGTGTTTTCCTATGGGCTGTTACCCTTTCAACGAACAAGTTAAAAATCCGACTCAGCTTGTCCTAAGTCAGGAGCCTGTTGTTCAGTGATTGTCGTTTGTTGGTGTGCTTCATAAGTGTTTCTCGTTTCTCGTTTTTATATAGATTAGACCGTTGGTTTTCCTGTTTGAATTGTTTTAAACTAGTCTTTTTTGGGGCCCTTTATAGCTTGCTGTTCGGTGTGAGCCAAGGCTCAGTGTTGAAGGCCGTACTTTGACCTATAATTGTTTACTTTTTACACATTGTGACTTGGATGGATAGTTGTCTCATTGGCACTCATACCACATCTTCTTATTTTTAAGTACACTTCTTACCGCCCTACGTGACTTTTACTTTTCACTGTGACCAGGAATTAACTTTTCATGATACAACTAGATGCGGGATATTAATAAAATTCCTATATAGGTATCTATCTATTCAATATATGTCACCATTTCATGGGTTCAGGTCAGTAAAGTTTAATGACACACATGTATAATACCTAGTGGAATGAAAAATGGTCTGTTAATGGGCGATACATTCTGAGAATACCAGAGACGAGGTAATGACCGTTCCAATGTGTTTTGATAACGAAAGGTATAATGCAATGGTTTAACAACAACGAAAGTGTGAGGGAATAACCGAAGATTCTTGAATAAAGTTTGCAATTGGTTATTAATATGGATTGACAACTTAATCATTGATTTAAGCTAATTATCATACCTTACATATATAATAAACAATTATCTATGGTAGTTCATCATGACTTGACATGAAAAATTGAAGTAATTTTCTATTTTTCATTGAAATGATTTTAAAACTTTATAATTGTTCATAATATATGCATGTTGTCTTTTGTCAATCTCTTATAGGAGGAAATAAAAAATGATGAGCCAATTTACACATTACCAATTCCAATAGTTCAGTTTCCTAGCTCAACTTTGCTGTTCTCTATACTCTTATTTAATCATCAAACCTCTTGCACATAATTTTAAATTTAGCCTCTTGTTTTGTTCATCTGCACCACACAACACTCTGTACAAAATAGTACTGAATTTCCCTATTTTTCTTACTTGATTAATTTGTGTTAATAGGTCACGCATACAACAGTAATTAATCATCAGCCTGCCAGCCTCTTGGTTTGTACACGAGTTATCTCCCGTCATTGATGTCTGTAAACCAAGGTTTGAAAATTCGACTTAGAAATTTTTGTGACAAAGATGCTTATAACACAAACATCGACCAAAGTAACTATAGTAACTATACGATATCTTAACTTTAGACGCATGAAGAGATAGCTTGAAATTTGATACATAGTACTCACGAAAGCTTTTTTAATCTAGCCCAAAATCAATTTTTATATGCCTACCCATATTGCCACCCATTTGCGTGTTTTGGCTATTTTTTTTAAAAAACTTTGATTTTGGAGTGAAACTAAAAATCAAGTTGTTTCGACAAAAGACGATCGTCAAAAAATAAGTCAACCAACTTAAAATGTCAACCCAGTCCTTAAAGGAGTCTTATCTCTGAAATGATGAGTTTGACAACGGTTTCCGCAGCTGCTTATATGATTTTAATCAGTGGCGTAGCTACCTAAGGCTCGACTAGGCACGTGCCTATTCATAGATTTGCCAATTAGAGGGTTCCGATCTAACACTCTAACATTTTACACAGAAGACAGGCGCGAGGTTTTCAATATGATGAGCATTTTTTTCTAAACAATGTAAGTATTAAACTGGTCACAGAATCTAACCTGCACACAGAATATGCGTCGATTGAAATGAAAACATTTTTTTTTCTCAATTAATGTGCAGCTAAAATCTGCTTGTTATTTTCTTTAAATATACGTTTAGTTGCACATCTTTCTAAAACAACCATTATCATGATAACAAAATAAAATTTGAAGAATGTCGAGTGCCTTTTACATCTTTAATCATTTGTCCATTCATTGCTGTTATTTATGTGATCATTGCAACTGTCCAACAGACAACTTTGTGTGTTTAGGTGTAGTCTATTTAACGTATACAAAACGTGTTTAACCCCGCCACATTCTACACATATACCTGTCAAAAATAATTAATAATAAATAAAGATTTATTTAATGTCGGGTATACATATAACCAAGCATATCCAACTAAGTTAGACATCAAGTGACATCGATGACGTAGCAATCCGCCATCTTCAGTAAATTTGTCTTAGGCCTTTCAATAAACTTTAATTTTTCCGTTAATCCTGTCCAACCCGTTTTCTAACTTCTGCAGCTCTTTTCTTTGTCTGCGAACATAATCTTTCTTGAAATGTTTAAATTTAGATGAAATTACGTTCCTGGTCAATTGTTAATATTGTTCTTTTTCTCCTCCTTTGCCCGTTAACTGTATTATAAAACTAACAAACTTTTGTCTTCTTATATTATACATTAATTTCACAAATTTCATTAAACAAATGTTTAACTATGCAGCTATATCAAATTATCTGAAACATACGTCTAGCGCTGCTACCTATTTTTAACAGTTTAATTAGTTGGCAAATTACGTCCCTAGTCGATTTTAAACCATGAATTTTTCGATGATGTCGGGATTTTTCAAAAAGGCTCAGGGTAATTGCGTTGTTTTCAAAAGGCCATATTAGGAACCCGTATCCAAAAACGCAGTTGCATGCACATTGAAAATTATTTTCTGCATAAAATGGTCTAAAATGTTTTCAATAAATCGTTGTCCAATCCTATCCCAGAACCCCAACTCCATAGATCACAAGGTGTTTCGAACATCTATTTTAGACCAATTAGAATAAACTAATTGACCATGGCCATGTCCATCGTAAGGAGCCCAAGCCATTGCATGGTGACACTTAATCTTAAAAATACTGTAATTTTTATAATGGGTTCTAATATTTATAATAAGTCGTTATCAAATACTTTCTGCATAAAATGGTAAATTTTTTTTTCGCCTCGCTACGCTCGGCGAATGGTGCCCACACCTAAATACTGGACTAGCTACGCCTCTGTTAATGTTGCAAATTTATCCAGACGAGCAATTCAGATTCATATAGTCTGTGGTGGTGTTGTTTTGACACACACTAGATAATTCGAAATAACACTGTTATATACACTGTCCTTAAGTTTCCTTTGTTTTTAGACAGCCACTAGAAAACATCTTGAGGAATGGTTTCAGACACTGTTAGTCATGCATGGTAAAAGAATGTGGCCCTTGGACAGAGAATATCCAAAGTTGGCGACCCTTATATGTTATTTCCATTTTATACTACGCCTTCAGGATTAACCTTTACGGGTTGACACTTTGGGAATATACCTTTTCTGATACTAACACAACTATGTCAAGTCTGATAGAAGTAAGTGATACTCCTGTCACATGACATAACTTACTTTAGATTGATTATTACATATTTACACGTGATTATGACGTTGTAATTCCGTTGCTTTTCCTGTCGCAATGAAATTACAGACTTTACTAAAAGAAAAGAGATGTTATAATAAGCTGACAACTTCCTCATGCCTTAACAGCAGTGTAAGAGTTTGTTCAATAAATAGAAACAATTTACAGAATAATGAAGGGTCCTGACTAAATAACATCCTTTTCAAGTTTACCACCGTTTCGGAAATTGTCAACATCTAAAGATTCAGACAAGTAATACTTCCTTTAGTTCCAGACATATTTCGTCTCTATTACATGTAAAAATAAGTTCATAAATTGTCGTGGTGTATATATCGATTGAAAAGCAATTATCTGTTTTATGAAAGCCCGTAATTAAACATGAAATACGATTTATAATGGTATGGTGAGTTAGTTAATTTATTAGTTTGAGGGCGACACAAGTTCCTGTATTTGCCTTAAAATGGATCTATTCCAACCATAAAACGTGACAACCATATCAGATGGAAGCACACAAAAATCTTTTTTAAATCATACTAATAAGGAGATGTGTTATAATTGTTGATGTAAAGCTGAAAGACATAAAAGTATTTAACCTATAATTACTCTGCAACATTTAGTTCTAGGCAGAATTGTTACTGATTTCTAAAGCCACAAAAGACCGACACTTGTTTAAGGAAACAATTTGTAAAACATTTGATAAAATCCATTATTTTTCTAATCATGAATTTTCAAATCATATAATAAAGCTTGTTGTTATCAATTTTCATTGTAAGACGTACATTGATTGAGAATGCGATATTCGAAATTATTATTTTATCTCTTACAAAAATACAACAGAAATATAAACTTCTTAATAATACGTCTATTACTTCTAACGATGATATTAAAAAAACACCCTCCCAGGCATTAAGCATTTAGAACATAGACTGGTATATCCGGGGTCAGAAAGATAGTTTTTCCTGATATGTTGACATATCTTACTGTTTACTGTAACCTCGCGTAAAAGCACGTTAAAACTCAAGAACCATTATATTGATATAGTTCAAAGCACAGGTCATAATCATATCAAATTAATATTCTTTCAATCCATCCATGGAGCTAGTACTCGAATCGAAAATCGAGGTTGTGATATAATCGTTGGCATGTGGTTACACATAG